AAATATGGTTCATGAAACATTCCAACACACGTACATATGCATGTGTACACATACACACACACACCCATAAAAATACTCAAACTCAAAGAAGCATCTTAAAAGTAATTTTCCACTGGGCACGGTCACACATCTGTAATTCATTTTGAGAGGCTGAGGCAAAGAGATCACAAGTTGTTATCTAGACCCGAAAACTTATTCAGAGATACGACCTCAAAATTTAAAAGTAGTTGCAATATATATAGCTCAGTATGAGGGCCCTGGTTCAATACTCAGTACTGCTAAATCATCAGACAATCTAACTTTTCCTCTCTGTACACAACAGGACAGATTCTTCCTCAGCTTGAAATGGCTATTCTTTACAAAATCATCACTTTACCTGAGAATCCTAAATTGAGAGATCTTTTGTTTATTCAATGCTATAAGTCACTATGAAAGCAGTTTTGGGACTTAGGCATTCATATACTACATTTTTAAGGTAGTCTTCAAATTAAGAGATGGAGAAGCCCTCATTACTGCTAAAGATTCATTAAGAAATCCAAAGTAACAACATGCCATAAGAATTTGGCATTCATGGGGATGAGAGGAGAGTGAGAGGAAGGGGCCAAGTGGAAGTAAAAAGGATCAAAATGTGACACATATAGACATCAATTTCCCAAAATAAATGTATTTATTATGTATCACAAATCAATAATAGTAATTCTAAAATTATGGTGTCCAAGGGGCCAGGGGTTTGGCTCAGCAGTATCAGTGTTTGCCTGGCAAATGTGAAGTCATGAGTTCAATACCTAGTACAAAACAAAAAAAACAAAACTATGGTGTCCAGAAACCTTACTTCTGTTTGGGCTTTGCCACTGACTACCTGTGAGATCCTGGACAAGTCACATGATTTAAATCTCCTGGTCTAAGTTTCCTCTTCTGTAAAATAAGGAAAACGGACAAGTTAATTTTTCTCTGAGCCCTCCTTGAATTCCAACACCCAGAAGGAAAACAGAGCTGCTGAATGAAAAAATATATTAAGCAACAATTACAGAACAGAACTGTCCCACATAAATAGGAACTTTTCAATTTTTTCCATGAAGGAAAATGGTTGAGGGCATTTACCTTCAGGAAGCAAGGGTGACTGATACAGCCATCAGCAGCTGATAAAGAACACCTAGTGGAGGAGGATGGCATTAGCACAGAAAGCCCTAGATGAAAGGCATAACTGGAGACCTGATTTTGATTGGGCAATGAGGATTTCGACACAAGAGAAAAGAGCTGGAAGGCACAGACCGGGACAGGAACACAAAATCAAGAGCAAAGGAAGATGCTCAGTACATAATCACAAGGCAAAAAAGCACACTTATTAGCTTTTTGTTTTGCAGCCTAAATTAACAGGGAAAAGGTAAGTACATGTAGCATTCTCAAAGTAGCAGGAACTGACACAGAAAGAGAAGTGCAGTGCTTTCAGCTGCAAGATCAAAAGAAGCTAACTGAAGGCCAGGACAGGCATGTGGTTGCAAAATTCTAGACCTTTTAGACACGAGAGACTACTGGACACAGTATAATGATTCAGAGGGGAAAGAAGAGTCTCACCTTAAACTCCTGGACATAAGCCCTGACAGCTCCTGAACAGACACATCACTGTTATCTGTAGTTTGTGAATTCTCTTTTCCTTGCCTGTCAGAGTGGCGACAGGAGCACTAAGCTCAGGGTGCTCAGACAGGCACCCTTGCTCCTTTCCATCTCCCTCCATCCCTAACTTAACAACCTATCGATGTAAGAAAGGCAGGAGGCAGCAGGAGCCTGAAGGATCTGTTTTGTTTATTCCTCGACATTCCCTCCCTAGTCTCTTCAGCTGGCAGGAAGTATGAGGCAAGAGTGTTCAACATCAGGGCAGCAGCAATGCTAAGAGCCATCTGTGATCTCTCCAAAAATGCTAGGAAACAGCACAGTGAGCCTTGCCAGAGAGATGCAGTATAGCAAAACCAGATTCCATGAAGGGAAATCCGTATCTTTGGTGAATGGAAAATTTCCTCGGCCACAGCCTGAGATACCTGATGAGAGAGACAGAAGGCCCTCAGGTAATTTAAATAGTCAAATCTCCCTCATTACTAGTAGTTGACAGGGACAATTCTACACTGCACTGCAGCCACCATTGTCTTCTATTTCAAAGCAGGGCACAGTGGGGTGGGAGAAAGTCTAATCTAGACACTTTCCAAATTTCATGAGGTTCATCTCTTAATTCCTAGCTCAGGGAATGCAATTCCAGATTATATCCAAACACGTGTTTTGATGTTTTGATGTTTCGATTCTGTTGGTTGTCCCTACAAAGGAGGAATATTCTAAACTAGTTGGGTCATAGGCAAGCCTGTATTTCACAGCCAAGAAAACTTCCATCACCAAATGATAAATGAGCATTTCTTATGCCCAAAACCCTGCGGTTCTTTCTCAAGAGCTTATCTCTGCAAGGCTCCTAACTTTTTCTTTCTTCCTTCCTTTGTTTTTTGAGACAGGGTCTCCCTCTGTAGTTCAGGCCATTCTTGAACTCATTCTGTAGCCCAGGTTGCCCTTGACTTTGTAGCAATCCTGATTTTGTAGCAATCTTCCTGCCTCAGTCCCCTACATGCTGGAATTACAAATATGTGGCACCATGCCCAGCTCTTTCTTTTTTTTTTTTTTTTTTTTTTTGTCTTTTTCCTTTTTATCGGTATGGGGGATTGATCTCATGACTGCCTGCTTGCAAGGCAGGCACTTATGCCGCTGAGCTAAATCCCCAGCTCTTTCTTTTTTGCGTGGTGCTAAGGATCACAACCACGGATTCACCCTTGCTACTAAAGCACTTTATCACTGGGCTACAATCCCAGCCCCTCTTTTTCTAATCCATTCTAGAAATGCTCTCTCCTCAACACAGTGTATTTCCATCTCTAAGCCACTTCTAAACATTTATTTCAGTAACTATTTCACTGGCAAACGCACTATGGTAAAGCAACTGCAGAACCAGTGTATTCAAAACAGCTGAAGGAACAAAGGAAGGGCTGAGAAAGCAGGTTCTTGCTCATGGTAACATCAAACTGCATTGCAAATTTTCTGCTTTCAAAAGTGCTTTCCAGCAATTTTATTTTTCTCCAAAAATTAAAATGCCGTCTCCCTTTTCTCTTTCACTTGTCTCCTAGGATGACAAAGTCACATTATCAAGAGGCAAAACTCCTTGGCATCATGGTGTATTGTTAGCTGAATGGATTGCATCTTTCAGCCCAATTATAGTCTGAAGGGGAGCTACCCAACTAATCCCTGCACCTATATGAGAGAAAATGGGTACCATTTGCTTCTCTGTTGGAGACAATAATGGATATTTAGACTTAAATCCAGTATGAAGCTAGGCAACATTAAGCCTTTCACCCATAAACTACAATTGGGCTTAGAAGATTGCAACATAAGTATTGTAATAAAAAAGAAGATGAAGGCCACCCTCAGATGCACTTTTCGGCAGAGGAAAAGCAATGACTACCAACATGGATATATGGCAAGAATTCCTCAAGCCATATGCAGGGAATAGTCTAATGGGCCTGGAACAGAAGCAACAACTCCTACTACTCCTAGGCCTCTTTAAAACAGTATTATCCATCTGTACCCCCAGAGAAAATGGCAAATCACAGCCAGCACAGGATGAGCCATGCCAGAAACCAGCTGGAACTTTACTCCAATGAGGTGGACTACAGCATCTGCCACCTGAATGCAGGCAACCTCTCTGACAGCTGCCACTGGTAAAAGAGAATAAGCCATTGTATTATTACTGTAAGAAATTCACAGCTCTGTTACCAGAGAAGCCCAGATGTTGCTGAAAGCTACAGATGTGCCAGAGGCAAAGACCAATATACCTACAGCAAGAAAGCACAAGCTACCACTGAAACCCAGGCACCACCACCCAAATATACACATCCAGTCTTTATTTATTAACACTTACTTATGGAAATAGGTATTCCCTGCTGCAGCTGATGTAATTAGAGAGAAATCAATTTATACTGCATCTGCTGGGATCAGCTGAAAGCACAGGATGAGCTGAGCACAGAGCAGAAAATCAAGAGCCGATGAGCAGTTGATCACAAGGCCAGCTGCTCTGTAGGAAACTGGAAGCTGCTGAAGATGAAGGTAGCCTGGACTCAAACTTACTAGCCTGACAAGCTCCATTTCCTGAGAGACCAACAAAGATCATCTACCCAGAAGAGGGACACAATCCTAACCCTCCTGGGGCTGCAGGCACCTATCCTTCCAAGTCAAGCAGAAGGTAAGGTATCATTATACTACCTGGCGTTATACTACCTGGCAGTGATAAAACCACCAGGAGACCGATTCCCAATTACAAGAGGTACCTGGAAAACAGCTACTTTTTCAGTGGCCACAGAATCTTTCTAGGTCAAACTGTCACAGCAGTAACTTGTAAGGCCTGAGTGAGCTCTTCATAGCAGTTAGTGCCACCTGCCCCTTGTTTACCAGTCCAGATGCTGTGTTCCTTTGCTCTCTGGTAGCCACCACCAAACATGTGGTAGATAACCCCATGAAATTTCATTAATCTTTGTTCTAGAAACCCAGTACCATTTATCTCATTAAAACAGCACTCAACCGGTACATGTAACCAAAGGTCTACTAAATGTTTCAACTATTATAGTTTTGATGATACATGTCAATCAAACAGGAAACCACATAAAGGTTTGATGTCAGCTTCTAGCAACAAACGTCTGAGGTAGGACAATGACAAGGTAGCAGAAAATTCACACTACCAAGAAGCTACCCACAACAATCGATAGGCTATTCCACAATGTTCAGGCTTGCCATAAATGGGTCAGTAAGGAACCCTCTAATTTGGAATAAAACCACATTATCATTACCAGCTGCTCTGACCTTGTAATTGGTCATTACCCACAAACTAACGAGCCTCCCACAGAGTGCACACAGCATTTGGCGATTAATCCAGGGCAGTTTTGACTGGCAGTGGGCAGCCAGATCTGGCCACCTCTTACCTTTTCAGACTTGACTTTCTTTAGCGGGCGACACTCATTCTCCCCTTCCTCTGGCTCCGGTTTAGCTCCCAAAGGATTGAGCGCTGCCCCAGGCTCAATAGCTATACTCCCAAGTGGCTCCACAGCGCCTGTTTCCACCCCTGCACTTCCATCATACTGACCACCCCGTCCTCCCAAGGCAACTGGCTGGAGGACCCCAGGATCCTTTTCTGAACAAGTCCCCACTCCTTCGCTTCTCTCCTTCTTGCTCTTAGACGAACTGTTCTCTTTTTCCTTTTTGGAGCCGGCTACACTGCGTGACGCCTTAGCCGCCTTCTCCGAGCCTTTGGGAGCAATAGCAGCAATCAGGCCTCCTGCATTGGCACCATCTCCTGAGCGCCCCTGCACCTCTTTCTTGCTAGCTGCCCCCTCACTTGGAGTGAACAAGGAAGTCCCTGGAGTGGGTTTGCTAGTGTCTTTGCCACTCTTATTCCTTTTGGACTTTGATTTGCCTTCCTTCCCTTGAGGACCTGGCACTGGGGTCACAAACTTGATGTTGTCTGGCAGTGTGGCCACAGCATTGGGAGCCGGTATCCCCACCTCCTTTGAGCCTGACATTTCCAGTTTCTGCTGGTCCTTTTCCAGATCGGCGTCCAGGTCAATGATGAGATTCCCTACTCCAATGTCCCATTCATCCCCACTGTCGTATGTCTCAACCGGGTTTGCATCCACTCCTTTCCCTCCGGAGGCTCCACTGCTCAAGGACATCTTAGAGTCAACGTCCCACCTCAAGATTCAAGGCTCTTCCTTGCCCCCAGCTTTCCTATTTTCAGCTTCAGCTATGTTCTCAGACCTGCCACATTGGTCAGTACATGCCCAGTGGACAACATCATTGCTGGAAAAAGAAAATTTAAAAAGCTGTTAAAGAAAACAATACAGGCAAGGAGACAGCCTGAAATAAACTCCCACACAAAACAGACCCTTTCTGTATAGCAATCACATCACAACAGACAAGACAAACAGGTTAAAGTGCATTTCTAACCAAGCCACACTGGACTTAAGGAAGAGCCAATTCCCATTCCATCCCAGGAGGAAGTACAGTATTTACAGTTGCGCAGAAAGTTTGTGGTGAGTTAGTTTCCCTTTCCAGACCTATTTCTATTACCATGGGAAGCCGGCAATCCTCCCTCCACCAAGATATGTTAGGCCCTGGTATATCAGAGATTCAAGCTCTAGTACTACTTTACTGATACCTCATTTCTTCTTGCTTCTGAAAATGAGCTAGCAAAGTTTTAACACTCCTCTACTAGTAGACCCAAACCCTAGCAAAAATAGTACAGAAAAAGTTACTGTTCTAGTACTAGCAAGAAAAGGCTTAAGTATGCGTAAGTAAATAAAAAAGCAAACAGAATTTGGAAAGATGCAACTTCAGGAGAGGGGTGAAGACTTAAACTAGAGGAAAGAATTCTCAGAGAGGACTAAGAGAATTTCTTGAGGCCACAGAAGCTTCATGAGCCCTGTCAAAACTCTAATTTTCTCATCATATATGAAAAGCAGTGTTCAATGTGGTCTTCCCCACTTCCTACTAAAATATTTATGAAGCAGGCATGGTGACACATAACCTGTAATTCTACTACACTCTGGGAGACTGAGGCAGGAGGATTTCAAGTCTGAACCCAGACTTGGCAACTTAGTGAGACCCTATCTTGAAATTCAAACTTAAAAATGGGCTGGGGATGTAGCTCAGGGTAAAGGTGCTAGGTTCAAGCCCCAGTGCCAGAGGGAAACAAAACAAACCCATCAGGATGTGGAATAATTGTACTATACTGATAGAAACAAGAGGGTTTCATACCACACGAAAGAGAGGTAAAAGGGGGTAAGGGAATGTTAAATAGCAATTTACACATCTCCATTATCCTGACTTATAAAGCCTACGGAGCATACCGTCTAGAAAACCTGTAGTCAACATACACCATCCATGTTTATTTTTCAACAAAGCTAAAAAGTTCTGTTCTTGCTTACTTACTCCTCAGCACACCATCTTTTTATACCCATTTAAAAAATAACTTACATTAGCTAAAACAAGCAGAAAGCACAAACCAGTGGCGTCAGATTGAATTCTTCAAAGTGGCTAGCAGGTAAGTGCTACAGATAGCAGAAAAATAAGAAATTATGTTCTTACTCTATGCCTTTAGAACAGCGTCAAAGATCCAGAGTGTGGGAGCAAGAAAAGATGTCATCCAAGGACAGCAGAACTGTACCAGGTGAATGTCTGCAAGCAACTATGATTTAAGAGAAGGGGTGGACAATAATCTACCATTTAGCTGTAGATCTGAGTAGAAAACATATCCATGATCAAAGTGGAAAGCTTAACCCAACAGCATGTTTATTAACAAATATCAAGCTTATCTAAGTCTTACTTTATGAAGGCTGAACAAAAGTGTGTGTGTATAGTGGGAAGGAGTATGACAAAAAGTTTCCCACAAGACAAAGGAAATGTAATTCCTGAAAAGTCAAAGAGATGATACTTTTGAAAATGATCAAAACTTGCAAGGAAATTTTTAGTAAATGGTTTGGAATTCTCCACAGTACATAAAGATGAAAGAGTAGTAGTTTATTGGGAGTTTTTAAATTTTATTGCCTGTTGTGTACCAGGCACCGAACTAGGTTCTTGCTGAGAATACAGCAGTGAAAAAAACAAGTGAAAGAGGTCATAGAACATGATATGGAAAATAATTCTACTAGGAGAAGCCCTTGGCATTTCTAGGAAAGTGAGCGCTACACTCAGTCTCCAATATAGAGGATTATCAAGCATACTTCTTCCCAAAATCATTATCACCTCTGCAATCTTTACAACTGTAGCTAGCATTAGTACATACGCCATACTAATCCAAAGTTTACCCACTCTACTCCATAGCTGCACTACCATTAGTGTATAATGTAACCACTAAAACAACTCTATAAAACTTTCTTCTATAAAATAGGATTGCAACGAGGAAAGGCTTGAATATTATATATAGAAAAACATAAACATATAAAAATGTTAGTACTCACTGAGCTTCTGATGGTTATCATACTATTACTCTGGCTCACCTGATATACAGAATGGAATAAATGAAGTATACCAATAAAAAAGAGAATATATCAATAAGAAGGTGACTGGGGGGCTGGGGGTTTAGCTGAGCGGCATAAGCACCTGCCTTGCAAGCAGGCAGTCGTGAGTTCGATCCCCGGTACCGATAAAAACGAAAAAGACCAAAAAAAAAAAAAAAAAAAAAAAAAAAAAGAAGGTGACTGGCTGAAATGGAAAGATAACTTAGCTGAAAGAACAAAAGGACATATATAACAAGATAGGCATGGTAGAGCATGCCTGTAATCCAGCCCTGGGAAAGGTGAGGCAGTAGGATCATGAGTTTGAGGTTAGCCTCTGTGCTACATGCCAAGTTCAAGGTCAGTCTGAACTATACCTCAAGACCTGGTCTCAAAAATCCAAAACAAAAATTAATCAAAGGGAGCCAGGTGTGGCTCACTGATAGAGGGCTTGTGTAAATGTACAAGGTCCGGGTTAGATCATCAGAACACACACATTCACACACAAAAGATGCACTATCAATTAAAATTTGTAAGAAGAACTCAGCAACAAAAGAGAAATGAATCAGTGAAATACAAGACACTCCTATTTTTTTTTCTAAAATTAAATAGAAGTGGATAATGAAGAGAAAATAACGAAGGAAATGGAAGTAAAGCATTTAATGCCACTGAAGGAAAACAAAAGAGATCAGAACAAATGGGACAAGAGCAACCTATAGAAGACATCATACATGAATAACATTTTGAACAAAACAAAAATCTTGCATGCAGATTGGAAAAGTTCAGTACATTTTCAGCAAAATTAATTTAAAAAGCCAAACCTGCACACATTTTGTCAACATCTTTAAAATACAAAGGACAGGGCTGGGGATTTAGCTCAGGGGTGTAAGCACCTGCCTGCCAAGTGTGCTTGATCGTGAGTTTGATCCCCGTACAAAAAAAGAAGGACAAAAACTGGGCCAACTTCAGACTACTCCGTAATATTGTTAAAAGAGAATATCACAAAATTTTGGAGATTGTTATTCATACTAAATCAAGTTGTGTCTCATGTATAACAACTTTTCAGTTATATAAGCACATACACACACACACACACACACACACATTCTTTAAAAATAGCTGGAATACTAAAATCAGCTCAACATAGCATAAATTTAAGTAATTCTTATAAATTCAAACACCACTAAATGCGGTAACCTGAAGGGAAACCTCAATGCACAGGCTAGAAATTAACTCTAAAATGAATTGGAGGCAAAGTCAATACTTCATAAATTACAAAGTTAACACTCCGGAGGCTAAGGCAAGAGGAATGCCAGCTTAGTGATTTCAAGGCCATTATGCACAACATAGTGAAATCTTGTCTCAAAAAACAAAACAAAAAGTAAATAAATAAAATACATTAAACCGGGCTTGTTGTTGTACATCTGTAATCCCAGCACTCTGGAATGTTGAGGCAGGAGGATCACAAATTGAAGCCTGGAATGGGGAATTTAGTGACTCAGTGAGATCCTGTCTGGAAATAAAAAGTAAAAATGTCCAGGGATATAGCTCCATGTAAAGGTCAGTTTCAACGCCCAGTACTACAGAATAGTAACAATAACAACAACAATATGCTGGAGAGGTAGTTCATTGGTAAAGCACTTGCCTAACACATGTGAGGCCCTGGGTTCAGTGATACTGTTTGGCAGTGGCAGAAAGTTGAGGAATGATCATCTTATAAAAAAATTAATCTAGGGGCTGGGGATTTAGCTCAGCGGCATAAGCACCTGCCTTACAAGCAGGTGGTCGTGAGTTCGATCCCCGGTACCAATAAAAATGAAAAAGACAAAAAAAAAAATTAATCCGGGCTGGGGATTTAGCTCAGCGGCCTTGCAAGTGCAAGGTCGTGAGTTCTATCCTGGCGCATCCCCCCTCAAAAAAAGAGAACAAAAAAGTTAATCCTCCAGTTCCTTTTGTTCCAATTCCATATGTCACAGCAACATGTTTTATTTTGGTTTTAGTTTGTTCTTTCCAGGAAGCAATAATAATACTATTGCATTTTTTGAAAATTGTGCTTCTGAAAAGGGAGAGGCAAAAAAAAAAAAAAAAAAAAAAAAACAATGCAGTGATCTGGGTTCACTTTCAGATTCTTTATCTTGAGATAGTCATTAAATATAAGGACATGCTGGTATGGTATGGTATGGTATGGTATGGCAACAGTTGTTGGAAAAACTGAGGTCATATGCATAAAATATGAATGTTAGCACTGCCTAGTCAGAGATACCTCTCCAAAGCTGCATACCACAGGAAAAAGTGCTATACTCAGTTCTAGAAAGGTTAGTATGGGAGAATACAAAGAAGTTTGTTTCTCTTCTCACTCTGTAAGAAGAGAAAAGGTCTCAGTGGTTTCAATAGTGTAGAAAGGACAATATTAAAGGTAAGTGCTGGGGACTTAGCTCAGCAACATAAGCACCTGCCTGGCAAATATGAGGTCGCAAGTTCAATCCTCAGTACCAAAAAAAAAAAAGGCAGAAGGGCTGGTTAGCTTCATATATATGATGGTTGCAGTGTGAAAGAGAGAAAATTGTTCTGTGATGTTAAGGGTAGAAACATCAATAAGAAGTTTAACTCATAAAAAAACTTAATAAATTGAGATACTCAACAATGATCCACAAATGTTTAAGAAACTTATGCCTGGGGCTGGGGATTTAGCTCAGCGGCATAAGCACCTGCCTTGCAAGCAGGTGGTTGTGAGTTCGATCCCCAGTACCGATAAAAAGAAAAAAAAAAAAAAAAAAAGTCATGCCTATCACTGAAAGCATGTAA